TAGATAGCTTCTTTGAAGGACCAAAGAATGAAGATGTTGGGTTCTTGATGTTCCCTGAGCTTGCAACACCATGAACCCATCCACTCCACATCTAGATAGCTTCTTTGAAGGACCAAAGAATGAAGATGTTGGGTTCTTGATGCTCTCTGAGCTTCCAATACCATGAACCTTTCCACTCCATATCTAGATAGCTTCTTTGAAGGACCAAAGAGTGAAAATGTTGGGTTCTTGATGTTCTCTGAGCTTGCAACACCATGAACGCATCCACTCCCATATCTAGATAGCTTCTTTGAAGGATCAAAGAGTGAAGATATTGGGTTCTTGATGTTCTCTGAGCTTGCAACACCATGAACGCATCCACTCCCATATCTAGATAGCTTCTTTGAAGGATCAAAGAGTGAAGATATTGGGTTCTTGATGTTCTCTGAGCTTGCAATACCACAAACCTTTCCACTCCATATCTAGATAGCTTCTTTGAAGGACCAAAGAGCGAAAATGTTGGGTTCTTGATGTTCTCTGAGCTTGCAATATCATGAACCCATCCACTCCATATCTAGATAGTTTCTTTGAAGGACCAAAGAGTGAAGATGTTGGGTTCTTGATGCTCTCTGAACTTCCAATACCATGAACCTTTCCACTCCATATCTAGATAGCTTCTTTGAAGGTCCAAAGTGTGAAAATGTTGGGTTCTTGATGGTCTCTGAGCTTGCAATATCATGAACCCATCCACTCCATATCTGGATAGCTTCTTTGAAGGACCAAAGAGTGAAAATGTTGGGTTCTTGATGTTCTCTGAGCTTGCAACACCATGAACGCATCCACTCCATATCTAGATAGCTTCTTTGAAAAATCAAAGAGTGAAGATGTTGGGTTCTTGATGTTCTCTGAGCTTGTAACCCCATGAACCTTTCCACTCCATATCTAGATAGCTTCTTTGAAGGACCAAAGAGTGAAAATGTTGGGTTCTTGATGTTCTCTGATCTTGCAATATCATGAACCCATCCACTCCATATCTACATAGCTTCTTTGAAGGACCAAAGAGTGAAGATGCTGGATTCTTGATGTTCTCTGAGTCTTACAACACCATGAATCCATCCACTCCATATCTAGATAGCTTCTCTGAAGGATCGGAGAGTCAGGCTTTGCAGTGTGGAAAGCAAAGAACGGGTTCACCAAGAAAAAAAAAATCCCGACAGGTTCTCCGTCCAATATTTTTGGCACGTGCCTCCTCGACCTCAAGCTCGCCGATGGCATCGGAAGCCGTGCAATGCTCTCCCTTCCCTCTGCAGTGCGACATGCAGAAGCTGACGGTGGACGAGCTGAAACGGCTGCTGTACGACACTTTCTGCGAGCACCTCTCCATGAAGGACATCGAAAACATCATCATGACGGAGGAGGAAAGCCACATGGGAAACGCGGAGGAGTGTCCAGTCGACGTGGAAAGTAAGTGGACTTCATCTTGGGGCTCAGATCACTGGGGGGTGGGGGGGAAACAGAGACCAATTGGCCATCAAATCTCTGTTCCTCAAAAGCCCCAAAGACGCTTCTACCTTCTAGTTCAACGGGTGCCCAACCTTGGCAACTCTCCAACCAAGGGGACTTGCCAAGGTTGGTGGACTTCAACTCCCACAATTCAAAGCAAAGCTGGCTGGGGCCTTCTGGGAGTTGAAGTCTTTTGAGGAGCAGGGATTTGACGCCCTCGTCACCTCAAGGCTTGACTACTGTAATGCACTCTACATGGGGCTGCCCCTGAAAATTGTTCAGAGACTACAACTAGTCCAGAATGCAGCCACGCGAGCGATACTGGGTGTTCCAAGATACACCCACATTACACCTATCCTCCGCGAGCTGCACTGGCTCCCCATTGGTCTCCGAGCATGATTCAAGATGCTGGTCATTACCTTTAAAGCCCTACATGGCCTAGGACCCGGATATCTGCGAGACCGTCTTCTGCCGCATACCTCCCAACGGCCGATAAGATCGCACAGGGTGGTCCTTCTCCAGGTGCCGTCAGCCAGACAATGTCGGCTGGCGGCTCCCCGAGGGAGGGCCTTCTCTGTAGCCGCTCCAACCCTATGGAATGAACTACCCCCAGAGATCCGGACCCTACCCACTCTCATGGCCTTCCGAAAGGCTATCAAAACCTGGCTATTCCGGCAGGCCTGGGGCTGTTGACCTCATGACCGAGGTCCAGCCCCGATTAGATTGAGCGCATGATGTGGTTTTTCTTTTAATTTGTTTCCTCTGTCTTTTAACTCTTCACTTTTTTTAATTTTTATTTTCTGTAAGCCGCCCGGAGTCCTTCGGGATTGGGCGGCCTATAAATTTATTAAACCAAATCAATCAATTAAATCAAATCAAGTCCAGCCTTCTTCGACATGCCGAGAAACACGGCGATAATCTCTTCTGGTTTCTTCCTCTTCCCCGCCTTTCTCTCCCTTTCTCCTTCTCCTCTCTCTCTCTCTCCCCCTTTCTCCCCTCTTCGTCACGGCCTCGCCACCGTTCTCCTCCCTTCCCACTCCCTCCCCAGCCTGCTCAAACCAACAGATCAGGCAGACATGCGTCCGGAAGAGCCTCATCTGCGCCTTCGCCATCGCGTTCATCATCAGCGTCATGCTTATCGCCGCCAACCAGGTTCTGAGAAGCGGGATGAAGTAGTTTCTGGGGAAGGAAACCCACGCCTGGGGTTCACGGACCGTTGGACTTCCCTGAAGAACCCAAGGGAGAAAATGATAAGACCACCTATAAATTCTCTTTGAGCCGCCAGGAGCCGTGGCTGGGAAGGGGAACTGTCCTTTCCTCCATGGCAAAATTGTGTGTGTACCACACATTGACGCAAAGTCACCTTCTTCCCTTCCGCCTCTCTCGGGGGGCTTTCCCTCCACCCCCACCCCCAACTGGGGAGGCAGCTATCTTCTGAAGAGATAGCATGGTTTCCCCCAGGCAGGGTCCCCCGCTCGGCCAAACCGAGGGCCCTTCTCGGGGGCGCGCATGGTGAACTTTTTTCCCCCCCGACAACAACATTGAAAGCATGTTAATGTGCATGGAGACCGTTTTTCCAGCACTCCCTCCCTGATCTGAGTTAATGCAATACCTTGTGCTTTTATAACCCGATAGTAGGATCCTACGAAATATATAAAATATTCTCTCTATATAAATATAGCATATATATATAGATATATATATATTTATGATAAACCGAATAATCAGTTAAGCAATATATACAACACGCGTCAGGATTTTCTATCCAAGATTCAGGCATTTGCATGACCATCAACACAACAAGGGCTGGACTGCAAATCGAAATCGGTTTGTAGCCTCCTCCTCCTCCTCCCTCCTCTCGGGAGGCTTTTCCCTCCCCCCACCCCAGCATCTATGCACTTTTTTCTTCTGGGGTGGGGTGGGGTGGGAAGGAGGGGGTTTACAGGAGCCTGTTGAATGTCGATCCAGGGTTGTTTGGATGGAAGGCAACAGGAATGTTGGCTTCGGAGGAGGTGTTGGAGGAGGAGGAGGAAGAGGAGTTGGAGGAGGAGGAGCAGTTGGAGGAGTTGTTAGAGGAGTTGTTGGAGGAAGAATTGGAGGAGGAGAAGTTGTTGGAGGAGGAGGAGTTAGAGGAGATGTTGGAGGAGGAGTTAGAGGAGGAGATGTTGGAGGAGTTGTTGAGGAGCAGGAGTGGTTGGAGGAGAGTTTGGGGGAGGAGGAGTGGTTGGAGGAGATGTTGGAGGAGTTGTTGGACGAGGAGGAGTTAGAGGAGATGTTGGAGGAGGAGTTAGAGGAGGAGATATTGGAGAAGTTGTTGGAGGAGGAGGAGTTAGAGGAGGAGATGTTGGAGGAGAGAGGAGGAGATGTTGGAGGAGGAGTTAGAGGAGGAGATGTTGGAGGAGGAGTTAGAGGGGGAGTTGTTGGAGGAGTTGTTGGAGGAGGAAGAGTTAGAGGAGGAGATGTTGGAGGAGGAAGAGTTAGAGGAGGAGATATTGGAGTTGTTGGAGGGGGAGGAGTGGTTGGAGAAAATATTGGAGGAGTGGTTGGAGATGTTGGAGGAACTATTGGAGTTGTTGGAAGAGGAGAAGTGGTTGGAGGAGGAGATGTTGGAGGAGTGGTTGGAGGAGGAGTGGTTGGAGGAGGAGTGGTTGGAGGAGGAGTTGGAGGAGGAGACTGACCCACTCGGGGGTAGCCTTAATGGAGCCTTCATTACTGGTGGACTTTCCACAGCAGGCCACACAAGGTGTGGAGAGTGTCCATGGGGGGACTCTGTTACTGAAGATCTCGCCGCCTCCACTTCTGACGGAGCCTTCTACCTTCCCTTCACAACCTCAGCGGAAGCCAACGTTCCTCAGCTTGGAGACTCCTCCCAACGACCTGGGACCTTCAACCCAACCGTTCTCCTGCTGGCTGAGGGACGCAGAGAACTTTGAGGTCCACGCCTCTGGACCGTTGAACCAGGTTGAGCCAAGTTGCAGCATTGTACATAAAAGATCCCAGGGCCTCCCCCCGGAGTCATTTCTTTTGCCCATCTTTAAGCCCAACATAGCGCGGTTCTGGCTAGGCCGGGGGTGTTTCTTGCGTAACCGGAGGCTTTGATGTGATGGAGGAGTTTGATCCCCTTGCTGTATCCTGGGTCCCAAGTGGGTGAAACCTTTCGAACGGACGAAACTAGCTATTGTGCCTTATTTCTCATTGGACTCGGTTCGACGTCGAATTTGCAAGCGGTTGGTTCATGTACTACTTACTAACTGTGGCCAGATGAAAAGAGACAATTGACACAATCCCCATGCTTTCTCGCCATGAATGTATCGTTGTGCCACAATGAATCAATTGTTAAACTGGAAAAAAAACAAAAAACCTTGCTGATCGGAGTTTGTTTCTTAAGTCTGTCTCTAGCTCTTCTCAAATTTATTATTATTTTAAGAACGAGGGCACGAGAAACAGATTGAGGTGCGTCGAACAGCTACCACCTAAGAAAACCTAAGAAAAGGAGGGCTCAAGGCTGAGCTTGTCGGTCAGAAAGGTGGGCAGTGCGGCGGTTCGAATCCCTAGCGCTGCGTAACGGAGGGAGCTCCCGTGACTTGTCCCGGCTTCTGCCAACCTAGCAGTTCGAAAGCAG